GCTTCTTGCTACCATACATTAACTCCTGGTGAATAACAGGCATTCAACTAAATACAGCACATAACTATCTAACATCATACTGTATAGCGGAGTACAAATGTTTTTAGAACGCACGCCTAATAAAAACAGCATGCTTTACAGAACCAGCTTCAAGATAAATAAACCCACTGGGAGGAGTGGAGAAAGAGAGAACATCTTTAAATTAAAATCAAAAGAGACATTTAAAGTTTGGGCATTCTTCATTATGGGAAAGAATTTTCCACTTTGAGACTATTATATATCAGAAAAGCTCCATCTGTTGTATAATTATCTCTGATAAACGGCCTGATGCTTCAAGCTTCATTAGAGAAAAGAGAAGAGAAAGACACACAGAGAGAGCTGTAAATAAATCTCGCCACCATATTTCACTTGAAACCAGCCCAGTAAGAAGTCATAAAATATTTTTTAATAGGTACTATTTTCTAATGCTCTACTAGAAGCAGCCAGCCTATTTTACCCAATATCTAGTCTTCAGAAGAAAGAAAGATCTTAGAAAGGGAAAACTGGTTCCTTTTAGGGACTATTATAAATTTAACTGGGAAAAGCAAACAATCAAACAAACCAAGAGTTTGGCCACCTGGTGACAGTGATGTTAATTTTCTAAGGCACAGATAAGCTTGTCAGATAGGCATAAGGACATGTAGTCAATGAAGCCCAATACATGCTCAAAGACTCAAGAACTGCCTAAAAGAACCAGTATATTTTATCTGGTCAAATAAGGCACTATTTTTCTTTTTTAAATCCCTGGAGAAGCCAGTATATGATGACAACCAGTTTCCAAGGAAACAATGGCAACTCACTGTTCAACCAAATTATTTAACCACAGATAAGATGCCCTCAATTTTCTGTACTCAAAATCATTGTCACAGAAAAAGAAAATTCAGTCAAAATCTGACAATTAAGCTTCTAGTATTAAACATTTTCACTAACACTCTTTCACATTCTCATTTGCTTCAAGAAATTTTTAATTTCCCATTTTACTTCTGCTATTATCCAGTAGTCCAGAAGCAAAATATTATTGTTTCCATGTAACTGATTCTTTCTCCTTTAATGTGCATGTATTGATTTCTAATTTTGTAGCACTGTGATTGTGGTGTTTCATCTCTAAATATGACTTTCTCTAGTCATTATTTGACTTTGCTATGTAGACAGAGGAGACTATGCAGACAGGGCATGTTAGTCTATCCATAAAGGGACAGGCTATCTACCATTTCCCCAGAAGGTTGACTAGTCTTGCCACTGACGTGAGCAAGCCAGCAGTTAAGAGGCAGTCAGATCTTCTGGCACCACTGAAGAAGCATTTAGACAATGTAGGAGGCCCTTCTCACTCCAGCCACACCTACAGTATCAACATCTATGGCTGAACAGGAGACCTGATGTGGGACCTCAGGGATGGAGGGAAAAGCCAATATTGGCAGGACTGAGAACTTGGGAATACTGGACTAAAGTCTCAAGGCTTAGATACTTGTGTACTTTTCAGGAGCTGACTGGACTATATTCTGTTATTAATCTGGATTATAACCTTTTGACTCCCCCAATATGGTTCCATGTGGTCTGTGTGCTACTGCATCAGATTTTGAACCCAGAAAAAGTATTAAGATAGGTGCTGAGAAGTACAGAAAGGTGCAGCACATGTTTGACCACCTGAAAAGTGGTTTGGTATTTTTGATGCTGTCGACAGGGACAGTTCCTCTTTGTGAAGTTGGTAAAAGTCAGATATGGCCATCTTCACATGGCCTCTTGCTCTTTTTTCAGTGATCCAAAATGATTTTAGGCCAGATGGCTGCAATGGAGAATTTTATCAAACATTAAGAGAAAAGTAGGCATTAATTCTACTCAAACCAACAGCCAATACGATTCTCAATGGAGACAGACAAAGTATTCAAAGATGCCCTTTATCACTCTTTTTCAACACTTTATTGAAGTCTTAAGCCAGAGCAATGACAAGGAAGGGAAAGAAAAAGTATTCAGATTGGCAAAGAGAACAAGTAAAATTTCTGCCATTTTCAGATGATGTAGTCCTACAGACTGAAAATATGAAAGACTAAGCAAGAAAACTACTGAAATTAAGTGACAGTTTCAATAAATTTGGCAGGATACAAAATAAAATCAGAACCAATATATAGGTGACCCTCCATTGGGTTTACACGGCTGTAAATCATATGGGGAGAGACTGTCCATCTTCCTCCCATGGAGTTGGTGAATCTGAACCAACTGAGAGGATTAGTTTTTGCATGAGGAGAACAAGTCTGAATGGACTAGGTCACCAGAGCCAAGACTAGGAACTCTTAATCTAATGGCTATATAAACACCACCACTACCATCACCATCACCATCACCATCATCACCACGACTACTTCAAAGGTAAAACAGGTATGCAAAAATTAAGTTGTGTGCATTTCTGTGAGACAAGTACGTACTATTACTACTACTTCTTCTTCAAAGGTAAAACAGGTATGTAAAAATTAAGTTGTGTGCATTTCTGAGACAAGTACTTAGCCCAAATAGATTTTAACAAACTGAAACTCATGTCTTGGTATTACTTATACCATTTTAATTGTTTCCCCTCCTCCTGAATGATGTCAGTGGGTTAAATATTAGGCTAAATTAGATAACTAAATTAGGCTACATTAGATAACTAAAGAGTTGGTATTCTGAATCCAACAGCTGCTCTGTTGGAGGAAGATGAGCTATTTGCTCCTATAAAGATTTATGGCTTTAGAAATACTAGGGGTAGTTCTATTCTGTCCTATATAGTCACTACCACTTGCAATCAACTCAATGGTGATGTGTTTGGTTTGGAAAATGAGTTCTCATTTAGGATGAGTATTTTTTAAAAATCCCTCTATGCAATGTAATTCCAGTTTTGCCAGGTTCCACAGCTCCTGTTACTTTATCTACAATGCCTTCTCAGCACCTTTGCCCATCTTTAACACCATCTCCTACATTAAGTTAATGTTCTTCTTTGTTTTTTCTTAAATTCATAACATGTCCTTTAACATTTGTTGTTGTTGTTGTTAAGAGCCATTGAGTAATATGCAACTCAAAGCAACCCTATGAGAGAAAGACCTGAACACTTGGGGTAACTTTCATCTTTTCTCCAGGTTCACAGAGTTTCCGGAGGGAGGCAAGCGATTTTGGAAGTGGATGTAACTCCTGCTTCCAAGCTTGTTTTAATCAGGAAGCTCCACCAATCACTGTCAATCATGGGTAGCAATTATTGCATTTGACATATCAGTGTCACAGTGTTCAGCTTCACAGCAACCACAAGTTACTGCTGTACAGTAAGTAGACAGACCAGGGCTATACGACCTAGAAGAATGTTTGCCAAAACCAATTAAAATAGGCCCACGGACCGTACAATATTTTACAACTCCAGCAAGCCCAAATGCTGGGAGACTCTGGGCCAGAGACCCCCAATTCATCTGGCAAGTCCCCTCTGCTGACATCTACTTAGAACAAAAAGAGAGCCAAAAGAGCCCTGAGTGTTTCATATGTGTCCCTCCTCAAGAGGCAAAAGGCCATCCTAACATAGACATATAAAATTCTCTATTAAGGTTTCTCTATCTTGGTATTACTGATGTGTCAGCTGAGACAGTATTTTCTTGTGACGGTTGACCTGTGCCAAGCAGACTGTCTAGACGTATCCCTGGTCTCCTGCCATTGTCAAATGTACAGGGTGGGAGAAAAAAAGGCAAAAATTAGCCCTGGTTGCCAACCACTGATGTAATTTAATAAGCGTATTTAATTTCCTCCCACTAAACAGTAAATTATTTGAGGATTTAGACTATAACATTTACTTAAAATTTTCTCAGTATCACTTATACAGTGGTTTTCAGATAGAGTCAAATACTTGTTGCCAGCTAACCAGCTGCTCCACAGAAGAAAGATGGCCAATCAATTTCAGTGTGATTTAATGACTAGGAAAACATACTGGAGCATCAGCTATTGGCTGGTTCCAACTTAATAATACTTAACAATAATAACTGCAGCAAAGCTATCTCTGAAGTTACTAAACAGAATGTACAGTAACCCACTATAGTCTTAAAGATTCATTAAACTTAAAATAGCAAATATAGTAAGACTGTTCATCTTCCTCCCTGGAGCTAACTGGTGAATTAC